CTCCCCTCCCCATCTGTGGAAAAATTGTCTTCCATGAAACCAGTCCCTGGTGCCAAAAAGGTTGGGGACCACTGATATAAAACAATACATCCAAATGAGATTTATCAAAGGAATAGAAAATGAGTTTAATGTTTGAGAAATTAATTAGTGCAATATTAACAGAATAAAAAAGAAACCAGGCTAGGCACCGTGGCTCACACCTGTAAATCCCAGCACTTTGAGAGGCTGAAGCAGGAGGATCACTTGAGGTTAGGAGTTCAAGACCAGCCTGGGCAACATAGCAAAACTCCATCTCTACAAAAAATTTTTAGGGGGGAGGGGGGAGGACGGAGGAGGGGACGGGTATTTGCATACACAAAGAGTGCAATGCGTACCACCCGAAGGATGGACATATTCGAAACTCGGACTTGGGGCGGGGGGGGCAAGGGCAACATATGTAACCTAAACATCAGTACCCCCATAATATGCTGAAATTAAAAAAAAAAAAATTTTTTAAACTTAGCCAGGCCTGGTGGCACACGCCTATAGTCCTAGCTCATTGGGAGGCTGAGGCAGGAGGATCACTTGAGCCCAGGAGTTGGAGGTTACAGTGAGCTTCGATCACACCACTGCCCTCTAGCCTGGGGAACAGAGCAAGACCCTGCCTCCCAAAAATAAATAAAAATAAATAAATAAAAGAGAAACCAATAAGATCATGTCAGTATATGCAAAGCATTTAACAAAACCTTTTCATGATAAAACTCAGCAAAGTAAGAATACAAGAGAACTTCCTCAATCTGATAAAGAGCATTTACAAAAAATTTAAAGATAACGTCATGCTACAAGATGAAATACTGAATGCTTTCCTCTCAAGATCAGGAACAAGGCAAGGGTGTCTGTTCTCACTTCTGTTCAACATTTTACTGGAGGTTCTAGTGATAACAGCAGGGCAAGGGGAAAACAAATAGATTAACAGATTGGAAAGGAAGAAGTCAAATTTGACTTTATTCACAAATAACATGATTTTATGTAGAAAATCCTAAGGAACTAACAACAAATGCAAAGACCACTAGAACTGTAAGTGAATTCAGAAAGATCTCAGGATTAAAGATCAGTATGCAAAAATCAACTGTATTTCTATATACTAGTAGCTAACAGTTGGAAAATGAAATTGAGATCAGTTCTGCTTAGGGTAGTATCAGATAGCATAAAATAAGTAGAAACAAGTTTAACAGGAAACATGTACCAAAAACTTCAAATGTTGCTGGTAGAAACCCAAAGGGGCCTAAATAAATGCAGAAATATAGCATGTTAATAGGTTAGAAGATTCAATAGTGTAAACATGTCATTTCTTCCAAAATTGGTCTAAAGATTAAACTCTCCCAAGGGGAATCCCAGGAGGCTTTAAAAAAAATTTCTTTTGAAATTTTTAAAAATAATAATAAATTGTTAAGTGATTGTTAATCACAAAAGAAAGAAAAACAAAAGACTGACTACACAGCTACAATAGTGATGGCATTGTGATATGGACCTACATATAGACAATTATTAAATACTTAAGTGGAAGATAATGAAGAATCCACACTTACATGGTCACTTCATTTTCAGTAAAGGCACCAAATCAGTTAGCAGGGAAAGAAAAGTGTTTTCAACAATGACACTAGAACAACTGGAAACACAGGGGAAGAAAGCGTAGCCATAACCCCTACTTCACACCATATATAAAAATGTGCTTGCGATGAATTATGGATCTAAACATAAAACCTAAAACCATTAATCTTCTTCATAAAAAAAAAAAAAATAAGAGAATATCTTCAGGATCTAGAGTGAACAGAGTTTCTTAGGACATCGAACAGAATAACCATAAAAGAAAAAAAAATGATAAATTAGTCTTCCAAAATTAAAAATCTCTGCTATTCAAACATGCCATTAAGAAAATGAAGAGGCAAGCTATAGATTGGGAAAAAGATTTTCCAGATATCTGACAAAGGGATTGTATTCAGAATATATAAAGAACTCACATAACTTAATAATTCTTTTAAAAAAATTTTTAACGGGCAAAAGACTTATAACCGGCACGTCACAAGAGAAATTACACAAACGGGTGATATGCACTTGAAGGAAGTGCTCCACGTAAGTCACCTGGGAAATGCAGCTATCGTGCTCCCCGAAGAATGGCTCAAGTTCAGAGTCTGATCACAGTGAGTGTTGATGAGGATATGCAGGACCAGAATTCACTTTGGAAAAAAGTTCGGCAGTTTCTTATAAAGTAAAACAGACCTACCTGTTACCCTCCGAGATATTTATCCAAGAGAAATTAAAACCTATGTCCACAAAAATGGGATAAGAATGTTTGTGTCATCTTGATTCACAACAGCCAAAAACTGAAGACATGCAAACATCTATCAGCAGGTGAATGGGTAAATAGTGGTATATTCATAGAGTGGAATAAAATTCAACTATAAATAGGAACAAACTACTGATATGCAAACATGGGTGAATCATTTTCCTGAGTAAAAGACGGACAATGCAAAAGAATACATAGTATTTAATTCCATTTTTTTAAATTTCTAAACTAGGTGAAACTAATTTAAGTGGGGGGAAAATCAGAACTTCTGTGGGGATGCAGGGAGAAAGGATTAACTGGGAAGAGACACACAGAAACTTTGGCAAAATTGTATGGCTAAGATTTTTGCATTTCAATGTGTGTACTTTTTTCCTGAAGAGCTGCAAATAATAATTGGGAAGGGAGAAGGGAGTGGGTAGAAGCATAGACGAGCCAAGAATAGCAGAATACTGATAATCATTGAAGATGAATAATGTTTATATGGTGGTTTATTATAGAATTCTGTTCATTTTACTTATGTTTGAAATTTTCTATAATAAAAATTTTAAAAGTAGGGGAAGAATAAGCAAAGGGAGGCATGTTTGGTTATTGAACTTGGTGTTATACAGTTTGATTGTCAACTTAAGAAATAAAAAGTAAAACAAATACAGAGTTTGTCAACTTTTTTCCCTAATTGGGTGGCGGGGGTCAGCATTGAAAACTGGCTGAGAGATTTAGAAAACTAGAACTAAACCATTTGCCTAAAACAAACATAATAGAAGTAGCTAAATTTGAAATGATTAATTTGGAATTTGTAATTGCAGCAATTTTCAAACTAGTAAAGAAATAGCCTAGAAAAAAACTGGATGGAGATTTGTCTCCTAATTGATTTGAATCCACAGTTTGAGATTTGCCTACATCTGATTCTTTTAAAATCCTTGTTTTTTTAAAATTTGCTTTCCATATGAGGATTGATACAAATGACTTTGAAAGGTAGGTAGGTTTTTTTAATGTACTCAGTTTCAAGGTACTATTTACAGTGTTCTAATTAGTAGAAATGTAAGTATTTAAATTACTTTAATGTTTTGTAAATGCATAAAGGAAAAACAAGAACATGTGTATGATATAAATAGCTTTTTAAGAGCTATATACTTTAAAATGTGGCCATAAACTATCAGTAACATAAAAAAATTAATTATAAATAAAAATTCTCTTGAAAGAAGGACAGAGTCATCATGTTTTTATAGAGTGCTGCCTTTGGAACATGTATTTATTAAGTAAGCCAGCTTTCTTAGTAGAAAAGTGTAATAATAATAATGTTAATACTTCATTATCTATTTTTTCCTTTGATTTTTACATGATCTAAGAAAAATGATAAGAGTTACGCAGAATTTAAATTAATATTTGACAGATAACTGGTATATATTTTATAATAACAATTTAGCATCTGTTTTTTAGATTGTTTTGAAAACTCCAGTAGGCACAAAGGTAAACTCATGTTTGCAATCTTTTTAGCTGCAGAAAATCATAAGTAAACAAGATGACTTGCTGACAGTGAAAACCAGTGAAACAGAATGTCAGGTATGTACAAATAAACTAAATATTTCCAAACAAATGATATTTATAATAGCTGCTCTATTCTGTTTGTTCAAATATTCCTAGATGGTTACCAATAGTTTTATCAGTAATTTAATTTTTTTAATACACTCGTGCGACTCATAACCATTTTTCTGTCAACAACAGACTGCATATACAATGGTCGAGGAATAGGCCGTACCTTATAGCCTAGGTGTGTAGTAAGCTATCCCATCTAGGTTTGTGTAAGTACACTCTGTGATGTTCACACAATGATGAAATTGCCTAACAATGCATTTTGCAGAATATATCCCCATCGTTAAGCAATTCATGACTATTTTAAACAGATGTCCTATATTCATATGTTCCTAACTTCAAAAAGTGCACAGGAGAATGTAGGTAGAGCAGAACTTTTCCTCCCAGTCACCCAGTTCTCTTCCCTGGGAAATGGGTGTTAACAGTTTCCTGTGTATTCTTCCAGAGATATTGTATGCATATATAAGCATATATGTAAATAAGTAAATAGATACATCTATATATTCTTTTTTCTGTTTTTATACAAGCAGTAGCCTGCTATACAGTGGTTGATACTTAATATACCTGAATATCTCATTCTCTTTTAATGGCTTCATGGTACTTTGTTGTACGGTCGTAGCAGTTTATGTAGCCATTCACCTTGTGAAGAACATTTAACATGTATTCATCTTTTGATATGATACATTTTGAAAATGTATTATATTC